TTTTAATTGACAGAGCAATCAAGGAGAGAGCTGTTGTTGCTGGCTCGACTATCGTTATCATCTTCTCCAGCGATGTTTTTGGTAAAGAGGAAGAGACAAAGACGGGAGAAGCGAGGGTTTTGATTCTATGCCATGCGGTTATATTCGTCCATCATGTTCTCTACATCTTGGTCAGTTGATAACACGTCAAGATCCATCATATTCTTTACATATTTTTATAAATATCTTTATTTATTAATCAACAAATAAACTTGTTGGTTCAAGTGGTCATATAACTTTTGATCAATTGTACAAGGTTAAGAGTTCGAATCTGCCATTTTACAATTATTTGGTTGTAGTTTTAAGATTCGTTAAAAGGTACATATATCTTATACTGTGATAATATAGAAGGGTTATAATGCGGTTTGACCGTAATTAATGGTTTGACTTGCATTTTTTGCAACTAAAGGGTAAAGTTGTAAAACAAAATACTTGAGGGTTTTTTTTTCAGAAAACCCTTAAAAAAAAAAATGATAACACATGAAACGATATGGTTATCATAAATTTGTGATACAACAAATCGTATTCCCAAAAATGTAATTCCAAATCAATAGAAATTCACTAAAATTGAATATTCCTTAACAAAACAAATCACAGCTCATCTTATAAGAATCAAGAAGGAAAAAATTGATTCTCAATAGAGGATGAACACAAATTGTAACAGGGAGAATTGCAGAAGAAGAAGATAAAATGTCACTTCTGATTTTTTTGGTTAATTTTTTCACTCTCGATAGTTTTCTTTTATTATTTGACCAAAGACTCGTTTTTAATCATAACCATTGATCTCTCTCTCTCTGTTAATATACACCCTCCACGTATACAATTTTCATCTTTTATTCTTTATAACAAAACACCTTTTTTTAAAGACCTTGACCTCAAGGTTTATAGAAAGCTTGTGCACTAATCTCAGACCTCAATCATGTTCTGTCCATATCCAAAAACCTCAGGATTCACTTTGTGTTCTTCTAGGCTTCTTTGATCTCTTTCTCAACTCGTGATCTCTTCTTTGATTTTGGCTCGAAGCAAAGAATCTGAATTTTGCTTATCTATTTAGACTTCAACCGTAAATGAAACATTATACAAGAATTCATCTATGATCTTCCAATAGTGCCAAACATAAAGATCAGGTTTGTCCATTATCACGAGCTAACCAGAGTGATTTAACACTTCCCTTTGCAGCAGATCTCTAAAACGACCAAAGCACTAAGCCATTGTGATTAGAAAATTCAGCTTCAGCTTTCTAGTTAAGCTTGAACTTAAAACACCAATTCTCGCCAAACTTTCTCATCTTATCACCACAGCCGCAACTTTGTTCGACTAAGAGATTCAGGACAAAAGCACTAAGTGAAGGCTTGCAAACTGAACTTAACTCATCCATTGGTATATCAGTTATGACATCAACACCAAAACTCAAACCAGAATGTGATCCATGGTCAAATTCAGCTTCAACTTTCTCTATAAACTTGAATTTCCAGGATTTTGTTAGCTTCTGAAAGATCTCAGCCATTTCATACATACTCTTCAAGCTAATATAATCTGGACATAACTCCTGTGAATCCCAATTCATTAGACCAATTAAGCCACTCTTTTGCAGCTTGTGTAATAAACTAAACCCTTGATCACATTTTTAAATACTTTGCTGTCAATATCCAAGAACCTTATGCAAGCAAAACTCCAATAGGTTCCCACACTCCATTGACTTGTGTACCCAGAAAACCCCACTGAATCTGTTTAACTTTAGCTTTTACATTCAACCAAAATCCTTCAGCTACTATTACCTTTGTATGAACTCTTTTAACCTTTTGTGTGTGATAATCAGAAACTCCAGATTTGCCCTACAAAGTTTCTGTCTCCTTCTTGAAGGGTAAGATCTCTTTGCACGATTGATTAAAATTAGTATATGTCCAAGAATAAGATATATTTTTCGGTGGGTGAGCTCCTTCATACAACCTTCTCAACATCAAGCATTGTTGTCGATGAAACATTCTGATATTTATATGAGTATCCAATCTCAGTCTTTCCAAAAAAGTAATTCAACAAAAGCTCTTCAGGAAGATTCACAACATTCTTTAGCAGTTAAAACTTGTTGTAATAATGCACAATCCCATCAGTTTCATTCAAGTTTTTCAATTCAGAAATCGGATCATCCCATACATCACAAAATCTCTCTTTCACCTTAAAGATACATTCCTTCAACTTATCTCCATCACCCCTAGGAAAATCCAATTTTGCTAAGCTAGTAATACACATACCCGATCGTGAAAGCTAACCTTGTTATGTATTTGTGACTGCAATTGATGAATTTGGTGATTGTTGAACTCCCAAACTCGATAGCAGCTTAATCTTCATCTCTTATTCCGTATAAAAGTTTTCTTCATCTCTAACACTACAACACCTCCCTCTAATCTTCAATGGCATTTCTTTGCTATGTTATTCTCAAGTACAACCTTCAATTTTGGTTTTTTACAAAAGAGTAAAATATGGGGGGGGGGGGGGGGGGGGGGGGGGGGGGTTCCCTCTAATAAAAAACGAAAGATCTGTTTTAATCAAATTTTGAAATTCCGGCGAGATCAGAAACGGAAGTAAATAGAGTGTTGAATTCAGATGGAAAGACTACTTCTCCTCTAACCATTTCATTAGCCGTTGATCGAAAATTCTCAGTCATCCAATCCGATCTAGGCTTTCGGCAAAATGGACTTCTGATAAATCATACAAAGAAAACGGAGTAACTAGGCTTGAAATAGTCATTTGGGACTCATAATAGTACAAGGAAAAGCCTCTATTACTTGTATCTCGTTCCCTAGAAGAGATCCCAATTGAAGATTCGAAACTGGTCTACTTGCCGAAAATGGACAAAACGGACTTCTGATGAATCATACAAAGAAAATGGAGTAAATAGGCTTGAAATAGTCATCTGGGACTCATAGTAGTACAAGGAGAAGCCTCTATTACTTATATCTCATTCTCTAGAAGAGATCACAAATGAAAATCTGAAACTGGTCTACTAGACGAAAATGAGGAAAACGGACTTCTGATGAATCATACAAAGCAATGGAGTAAGTAGGCTGAAAATAGTCATGTGGCACTCATAAAGGTACGAGGAGAAGCTTTTATTACTTGTATCTCATTCTGTAAAACGAAAGATATGCTTTAATCAAATTTTCAAATTTCGGCGAGATCAGAAACGGAAGTAAATAGAGTGTTGAATTCAGATGGAAAGCCTACTTCTCCTTTAATCATTTCATTAGCCATTGATCGAATTACATTTCTTCGTCTCTCTTCTGCAGTCGAAAATTCTCAGTCATCCAATCCGATTCAAGATTTTCGGATTTGATTTGTGGTTTTCCCGTTGAGATTTCACAACACCCCCCCCCCCCCGGCAGTATAATTGATTGTTGTAAAACTATCGATGTAATAATTCTTATAATAAATTAATATTAAAAAAATTCTGTTTTAAATATGAGAAAATAAGTAAAACCAAAAACAAGAATTTATGTTAGTTGTAAGCATTTAATTTGTAATAAGTAGTTTTTTTGGAACAAATATCTTGATTTGCAGTATTTAAGTGGTTCAATAGTTGATCGATTGATTGTTTCACACACACAAAAAAAGTTGATCGTTTGATTAAAACTTTGAGAAGTAAGTTAGTTTCATAAATGACAATAACCATGAGCAAAAAAAGACAAGTCAATTATGTACGTGTGTTGAAATATCACAATCACAACTACAGAGAAAAGAACAAAGTTCACTTTGTTTTCACCTTAAGAATCGAATAACTAATAGCACTTGTGGATTCAAAAATTCATATATATTGTGAAAATAGTTATAAAAGATTGATTTCCTTATAACTAATAATTTAAAAGAACTTAATTAAAATATGTATCAAGCCAATAAAACTTAGATTTATACTCTATTTGGCTCTTGATCAATTGGTTCTGATAATCTTGAAGAGTCGAGTAATTTCAGACAGGATGAAATCCATATTCGAAACAAAACTGATGCTTTATTTTTCTGAACAAAGAAACTGATTCTTTATTTGCTTGGAAAAAAAGAAATTAACACTATCACAAGTACAAAGAAAAGAACAAAATCCACATTGTTTTCACGTTAAGGACCTATAATTAACAGTAGAAAGGGGCTTCTTTGGGAGCAGATTTTCCTATTTATAGTAGAAATTTGTGAAAAGCTTTATATTTATATACTCCAACAGGTTTTATAAAAAAAAAGCTTTAAAAGAAATATAGTAAATAAAAACACCGAAAGCAGCTATGAACTATGATGGTGGATTTCATGAGATCGAAAAGGATGGTAAACTATTTATGGTTTATCACCACCAAAAGTACGGTTCCATACCACAAATACAAAGCCCATACTCATCCGATGAAGATGCTAGTCACGACCACCTTCCTCAAGCTCTTTTCTTATGCCCTCGTGTACGAAAAGAAGATTCCTCTCCTGAGTACGACCTCTCTAAAACAAGGGATTCTAATTATCATCAGGTACTCCCATTGTTTTTGTTCAGCAATGAAGAGTTTGGTGTAGATGAGTGCTCTATGTGCGAAGGCTCAAATGTTGGCACAGTTTATTATTTTTGCGACTACTGTGGTGAAACTTACCACAAAGAATGTGTCGAGTCTCCACTTAAAATCAAACACCCTTACCATCCTGAACATTCTCTTCAACTACACTATCATAAATCTTGGGATGGCTCTGAGTGTTTATATTGTGAAAAAAGAGTAAGAGGTCTAGTATATCACTGTATCATTTGTCAAGTTTTCATGCATGGAGTATGTGCGATGATGCTGATATCATTTGTTATAGACAAACCAAAAAGCCATGACCATTCCCTTACTTTTTTCCCCAGACAAACTTCTTTAACCTGCGACGTTTGTGGTTTGCTTAGGAAAAAATATCCCACATATGTTTGTTTTAGATGTAACTTTGTAGCTCATAAAGATTGCATGCATTCTCCATACGTCATCAAGATATCACGTCACCACCATCGTATCTCCTACGTTTCTTCTCTTCTATCTGGAAAATGGCTTTGTGGAGTTTGTCGTCAAAACATTGACTGTGGTTACGGTGCATACACTTGTGACAAGTGTGGTGATTATGCTGTTCACTCAAGATGTGCTCTAAGGAAAGGTGTGTGGGATGGAGAAGAGCTCAAAGGTGTACCAGAAAAGGACGATATAACACAAGACGCACCACCGTTCGATATGATATCCGAAGGAGTGATGCATCATTTTCTTCATGACCATCACCTTCGGCTCGATGACAACATACTTTACGACGAAAACAAGCTTTGTCAAGCGTGTGTCTTGCCTATCTTTGAAGGTAATTCATATTCTTGTATGGAATGTGAATTCATCCTTCATGAAACATGCGTAAAATCTCGCCGCAGAATACAACATGCGTTACATCCTCATCCACTTACATTGGCGGATAAGTCGGATGACATATCTGAATATGGCTTCTTTCAATGCAATGCTTGTAAGCGCTTTTGTGGTGGTTTTGTCTATAAGTGTCCAATGAAGGAATGCGAGTTTGATTTAGATGTACGATGTGCTTCAGTTTCGGAGCCGTTTGATTATCAAGGTCACGAACATCCCTTGTTCTTATCTTTGGACCCAAAACAGAAGCCAATATGTGAGGTATGCAAATCAGAATGTAAAATGCCGTTAAACTGCATCAAATGCGATTTCATTGTTTGTATCAAGTGTGTTACCTTACCGTACAAGGCAAGGTATAAGCACGACGACAAACACTTTCTCACAGTTTCATGGGGAAAAGAGGTTTGTGAGAAATATTGGTGCGAGGAGTGCGAAGGTAATTTAAAGGATACGTCCACAAAATTGTTCTATTGGTGCAATGATTGCTGCACCACTCTTCACATTGATTGCTTGCTTAGTGAAGACTCATATTTAAAACCTGGTCGATTAATCGTGGGAGATAGTCAAATTCTTAGCAAAAGTAATATTTCTCGACCAATTTGTGATTCTTGTAAGAACCCTTGTCAAGGCAAAAAAATTACTAGAGGCAGTCTCACTGTATGTTCTATGAGATGTGCTTTAGAAGTCTTTGTTTAGGTGTGTGATAAAATTTGGTTTATATTAAGCTTTGACTTTCTAATTGTATTTTATCTTTCATATTGTTTTACAATAATTAAATGTAACTTTATGTTTGTTGGTTCAAAAAAAAGAAAGTGATTATACAACATCTCCCTCTAGTCTTCAATGGCATTTCTCTGCTATGTTATTCTCAATTTTTTTGTGCAAAAATAAAATATGGTGGGCTCACAGTAAACTACTATTGGGCCTGTTGCAACCCATTTGTTTTTTACTTCACTCTTACGCTTTCAGTATAAACAAACTCTCATAAAGAAAACGAACGACGCCGTTTTAATCAAATTTCCAAATTCCGGCGATATCAGAAACGGAAGAAAATAGAGTGTTGAATTCAGATGGAAAGACTACTTCTCCTCTAATCACTTCATCAGCCATTGATCGAATTACATTTCTTCGTCTCTCTTCTGCGATCGAAAATTCTCAGTCATCCAATCCGATCCAGGATTTACCGATTTGATTCGTGGTTCTCCGGTTGTGATTTCACTCCCCCGGCGGTGATCGGCGATCGTCGATATGTCGTGGGGATTGGGGTGGAAGAGATCGTCGGAGAGTTTCCGTCTGAGTCTCTGTTACGGCCTGGATGATCTAAACGACGATCCGATCCAGACGCCGTCGGCGTCTCCGATGGGATCTCCATCATCGGTTTCATCTACGTCGTCTTCTCCGTCCGCGGTGGAGGATCCGGAATTAGGTTTCCGGATAGATTTGGATTGGACTGCCGGCGATTCGGAGGAACAGGTGGCGTTGAGACTGGAGTCGCAGCTGATGGTGGCTCTGCCTGCGCCGCATGACACTGTGGTGGTCGAATTGAGTGGCGATGAAAGTGGAGAGAATGTTGGATTGAAGATGAGAGTTGAGAAACGGAGAGAGCCATTGCGAGCGGTTACATTGATGAAAGCGGCTGGCTCCGGTCAGCAATACGACGGCGTAGGCGTCTTAACAAGGCTGATGCGTTCTGATATGATGCCTGCGGCTATTCCTGCGCCGGTTATCGACGTCGCTTCTTCCTGTGGCGAACACTGGAAGACTGTGACCTCGCTAAGCCTATCTGGTTGTGGTTTACTGGTAAGGTTTCTCTACTTTTCTTGAATCAAATGAAGAAAGTGGCGAAAAAGCATCAAACTTGGTTAAGAAATGTCAAGTGAGATGCTTTATCAAACTGGGTTATATATTTTGATCCTCTGCAATGTTGGGCAGGTAATGCCAGTTGAAGTGACTGAGTTGCCTCTTCTTGAGAAGCTATGCCTTGAGAACAATAAATTGTCAGTTTTGCCACCTGAGCTAGGAAAGCTGAAGAACCTCAAAGTTCTTAGAGTTGACAACAACATGCTTATATCTGTTCCAGGTGAACTTAACTTGGAAATTGCTTAATAAACTAAAAGTTCTTAGAGTTGACAACATCATGTTTATACTTGCTTTTCGGCTGATGTTGGTGGAAAATCTTGTGCAGTGGAACTAAGACAGTGCGTAGGTCTTGTTGAATTGTCACTGGAACACAATAAACTCGTCCGGCCTCTTCTTGATTTCAGGTCATTGTGGCAACTGACTGTTTTGCTTATTCTTGAATTTAGTATGGAGGCTGATTTGTTATTTGATTGAAATGCAGGGCGATGGCTGGGCTACGAATACTACGGCTTTTTGGTAATCCCCTTGAATTCTTACCAGAAATTTTACCCTTGCATCAGCTTCGCCACTTGTCTCTTGTAAATATAAGGATTGTGGCTGATGAGAATCTAAGATCAGTAAACGTACAGATAGAGGTACAAAGAAAACTTATCACACAATCAGTCTTGCTACTTTTCAATCTGTAGATGATTAACTTTTTATGCTAAGGGTGCGTTTGCATGATGCCAGACAGAAAACACTTCTTATTTTGGGGCATCTAGGCACAAGCTAAGTGCCTTCTCTCCCCTTATATTCCGTTCTTCGTCTTGTCATCATCCTCTTCTAGCATCGACATTGGTGAAGATAATGCAAGATGAAGGAAATCGTTCTGTTATTGGGAAAGATGAAAATGCAGTGAGGCAGCTCATAAGTATGATAACTAGTGACAATCGCCACGTGGTATGTTGGTTTTTGTTCTCTGCTTTGGCTAAAAAACGTAAATCTACCTTCTTTTGGGAACAATCACCATAGCTACAGGTTTGTTAGGTTGAGCAAGCATGTGTTGCTTTATCATCTCTTGCTCGAGAAGTTGGCGTAGCAATGCAGCTGATGAAGTGTGATATAATGAAGCCAACTGAAACTGTTCTGAAATCTGCGGCCCCAGACGAAGTGATATCTGTGCTACAAGTCGTGGTCACCTTAGCTTTTGTATCTGATTCCGTTTCTCAGAAGATGCTCACCAAGGATATGCTAAAAGCCTTAAAATCCTTGTGTGCCCATAAAAATCCTGAAGTAAGATGGCTGCATTTTGTCTCTCCTAATAAGAAAACCCTACAGCTTCTTCGACTGAGTTTCATTTTCCTTAGGTTCAAAGACAAGCCTTATTAGCAGTTGGGAACTTGGCCTTCTGTTTGGAAAATCGTCGTATTCTGATTACTTCAGAGAGTTTGAGGGAGTTATTGATGCGGTTGACTGTCACACCTGAACCACGAGTCAATAAAGCTGCGGCTCGAGCTTTGGCAATTCTTGGTGTGTTTCTTCTGTATTATATTGTCATTTTTGTTTGATTTTCTAGTTGGGCATTACATCAATATTTTTCTTCTGATGACAGGAGAAAATGATATTCTGCGACGCTCCATAAAAGGCAGGCAAGTACCAAAACAAGGACTGCGAATACTCACAATGGATGGAGGTGGAATGAAAGGTCTTGCAACGGTGCAGATTCTTAAAGAGATTGAGAAGGGAAGTGGCAAGCGTATACATGAACTATTTGACCTTATATGTGGCACATCAACAGGAGGAATGCTTGCCATTGCCCTTGGTGTCAAGCTTATGACACTGGAGCAATGTGAAGAAATTTACAAGAATCTAGGTGTGTAGATTTCCGTTTGAGCTCTACAGCTTCGTTAACTCATTGGTTCTGGACTTTACTTTGGATGGTTTTCCTTTAGGAAAGCTTGTGTTTGCTGAACCTGTCCCAAAGGACAATGAAGCTGCAAGTTGGCGGGAAAAGTTGGATCAGCTATATAAAAGTTCATCGCAAAGTTTCAGAGTTGTTATCCATGGATCCAAGGTATATACATCTCCTTTTGTCTAAGCACAGGTGATTTCTTCTGAAGCGACATATAATCAAAGAGAAATGTTTTATGGTTATGGTGTTAAGGATTTTAAATGTAAAATTTCCTTCAAAATGTCCTCTGAGGATTGTAGAAAGATATGCTTGCAGAAAACCAAATAGCTCTTGTTAGTTCATACATGACTTGGAATCAGGTTCTATAATATACTGTCTTGCAGCATAGTGCAGACGAGTTCGAGAGACTATTAAAGGAGATGTGTGCTGATGAGGATGGAGATCTACTAATAGAATCAGCTGTGAAGAATGTTCCAAAAGTCTTTGTCGTATCTACTCTTGTTAGTGTGATGCCTGCGCAGCCATTTATATTCCGGAACTACCAGGTTCAACACTTCACTTTTGTACTTTTGTTTTATTCCTTATTCTCTGTTATATCGCTATGAATGGTCTACCAATTTACGTTCGCCTGCCTATACTTCTTTTGTGTATCATGTTCTCTCTTTTCTATTTGCAGTATTCTGTTGGAACACCGGAAATGTCATATGCATTTTCAGATCATTCAGGCGGCAGTACATTAACTTCATCAACTGCCAGTGATCAAGCTGGCTACTACAAGCAAAGTGCTTTTATGGGAAGCTGTAAGCATCAGGTTTGGCAAGCAATACGAGCATCCTCAGCTGCGCCGTATTACCTTGATGATTTTTCAGTCGGTACAAGTCTACCTTCTTTCTTCTCTATCTTTATCCTTGAGATGTTGTGGTAAGCTTTTACACTAATATTGTTTACAATCTCTGTTTCATTTTGCAAATCGCTTAAGATTCATACCGTTGGCAAGATGGTGCAATAGTGGCAAACAATCCTACAATCTTTGCCATCAGAGAAGCACAACTTCTGTGGCCTGACACAAAAATTGACTGCTTGGTTTCTATTGGCTCTGGATCTGTACCAACAAGGGTAATTTCCGTTTTTTTCTCCTATTTGTGGAATTCGATTGATGAATTTGTGGCTCCCAGTGGCAATTACACAAGGCTAATAAAAGCTGGCTGCCGTTGTAATGTTAAAGTAATTATTTGTCAATGTTTATCAAACTCCCTTGTAGGTACGGAAAGGCGGATGGCGTTATTTAGATACTGGGCAGGTATTGATAGAGAGTGCATGCTCAGTGGAACGGGTTGAAGAAGCTCTAAGCACATTGCTCCCTTTGTTGCCAGAGATACAATACTTTCGGTTCAACCCAGGTAATACACATTTTTTTACAAAATGCAAGAATATCCTCTTGAACACCTAGGAGATCTTGAATATTCTAATTCTTGCCAATTTAAACAGTTGATGATCGCTGTGGAATGGAATTGGATGAGACTGATCCAGCGATCTGGTTAAAATTGGAAGCTGCAATCGATGAATACATACAAAGCAATTCCCAAGTATTGAAAAATGCCTGCGAGAGATTAACACTCCCCTTCCTAAACGATGAGAAATGGTGTGAGAACTTGAAACCACGGTTTATGAATGGAAAGCTACCAGACACCAGAGGTATCCACTTCAAAATTATTCGCTAATCTGAAAAACCTTCCCAAACAGTTAACCTAGCAACTAACTAATCATTTCTCTGTCGTTCATTGGACAGTAGAGAGCAGTCCTTCTTTAGGATGGAGACGCAATGTTTTGCTTGTGGAGGCTCAGCATAGTCCTGACTCAGGGAGAGTGAAGCATCATGCTCGTGCACTTGAGTCATTCTGTTCGAATAATGGAATAAAGTTATCTTCATTGCATGCTACTCCTGGAGGCCCGAAACCATCTCCAGGAACTGCTTTCCCCACACCATTTACCTCTCCTCTAATAAGCGGTAGCTTGCCTTCGAGCCCTCTTCTCTTCACTCCTGATCATGGCCCACAAAAGTTCAATAGAATTGACATGGTTCCACCACTTAGCTTGGACGGTCATGCTGGAAAGACGGTTATGTCGCCTCCATCATCTCCTCCACGGCAAAGACAACTCTATCTTCCACTACGACAAATGCATGAAAAGTTACAGAATTTGCCTCAAGTAGGGATCATACATCTCGCGCTTCAGAATGATTCTAATGGTTCGATACTGAGGTTAGTTCAAACTTTTCAATTTCCACCGCGTGACGACACTTATGTCTAAAATATTGATTCTGGTTATTTGATACATTTGCTTTCTGGTTTCATTTAGCTGGCAAAATGATGTATTTGTGGTTGCTGAACCTGGAGAGCTCGCTGATAAGTTTCTCCAGAGCGTCAAATTCAGTATACTATCAGTCATGCAAAGCAATCGCAGAAAGGCTGCAGCGATACTTTCCAACATCTGCTCAATCTCGGATCTGGTTCGTAGCAAGAAATGCTTCCAGGTTGGGAATATCATCCACCGTTACATCGGACGCCAAACCCAAGTAAGAATATGCTTTCATTTCCAACTTCTTTGTCATGTTAGTATGATAGCTTTGCAGAGTTTGTCTTGTTTGTGATTGTTACTTGTTCATTTATTTTCAAAAGGTGATGGAAGATGATCAAGAAATCGCAGCATTTATGTTCCGCAGAACTGTCCCTTCGACACACCTAACTCCTGATGACATTCGCTGGATGGTAATAGCACTTGACTTTTTGTACACCTAAGATCCTTCTGCTATATCGTATTCCTTCAAAAGCTAGCTTCTACGAAAATGTTGTCTGTATACTTATGCTCAGTTTGGTTGATCGGTACGAAACTCGAACCGTAAAAAGCTATTGATAAGCTCAAGAAAGGGAAGGCTTATGCTTTAAGGGTATTCTCTGAAACAGGTAGGAGCATGGAGAGACAGGATAATACTATTCTCAGGAACATTTGGACCAACACAAGCTGTAGTGAAAGCCTTTTTAGACTCTGGTGCCAAAGCTGTGATTGGTCCTTCGACCGAACCGCAAGAGACACCGTTAATCACATCCCAGGGTTCATCTGAATACAACATCGGAGAGAACGGTAAGTTTGAAATCGGAGGAGAAGAAGACGATGAAGAAGAAGAAGAGGAAGCGGAAAGGGAACAGACCGAGCCACCGACACCGACAAGTGACTGGGAAGATAGTGATGATCATGAGAAGATGAACAGAGACGAGAACAAGTGTTGTGGACTTTGGGATGATGAAGAAGAGGAAGTGTCTGAGTTTGTTTGTCAGTTATATGATCAGTTGTTCAGAGAGAATTCAAGAGTTGATGTTGCTCTTCAAAAAGCTCTTGCCTCTCATCGTAAGCTCAGGTACACTTGTCATCTTCCCAATGTATAGAGAGGAAAATATACCTTTTTTTATTGATTATATATACCTTTTTTGACCCGAGGGAGAGGAAAAATTGAGAGAGAAAAATAAATAAAACATTGTTTGTTTCTGCAAATAACAGTATCAAATTAAGTTTATTAAAGAGGTACGAGAAATAAGATTTTTACAATTTCTCTCTTTCGCTCTTTTTTAGTTTTGGAAAAAAGTAAAACTGTAATTGCTTTTTATTTCTTGAAATGTGAATGTACTGAAAAGTATAATCAAAAGAAGAGATCAAGATACACTTGTAATCAAACAAAACAAAATTAGTATGAGACTAATAATGTAAATCACATGATACAATCTCCTTCAAAATGCCATTTTACACCTCCTTACAAAGACCTGTTTGCATCCAAGTGACTTAGAACTCTATCCCTAATTAGTTTTCTTGGGCTTTACGTTAAAGAAAAAGAAAGCAAAAAACAAGAAGAGTTTAAAGGATTGAAATAAAAGAGTCTGATTATATTTCAGATGATGATGATGATATCTGAGTAGCAAAAGCAGGAGTAGTTGTGGTTGTATCAGTACTATCAGTAACCTCTATAGGCTTAGCCAAGAACTCAAGTGCTGTGACAACATCTCCCATCAATGGCCTAGTCTCTGCTTCTTCTTGCAAACACATTGCAGCAATCGCTAGAGCTTGATGCAACCCTTTCACTGGATAATTCCCTTCTAGATTCGGATCCACAATCCTCGTAAACATCCTCCTATCTCTCAACAATGGCTCCGCCTGCAAAAACAAAAACTTCAATCGGTTTCTTCCTTCTCAAGCAAACAACATAAACATGTTAAACAAAGACTCCTTCCAAGAGCCCCCCTAGGGTTTGTTTGTGTTAACGTACCCAAGAGATCAAGTTCTGTTCCTCTGTTGGTCTTTCGCCATCAATAGCTCGTCTCCCGGAAATGATCTCAAGAAGGACAACACCGAAGCTGTATACATCGGATCTAGCAGTGAGCTGACCGGTCATAGCGTACTCGGGAGCACAGTATCCGTACGTTCCCATGACTCTAGTGGACACATGATCTTTGCCTTCCGTTGGTCCAAGCCTAGCTAACCCGAAATCCGATAGCTTTGAGTAGAAATCCGACTGTAACAAAATGTTTGAAGCTTTGAAATCGCGGTAGATCACAGGAGGATCAGCATAGTCGTGCAAGTACTCGAGCCCTTTAGCTGCACCGTGCACTATACGCATCCTCGTGAACCAGTCTAGACTTGGTGCCCCTTCAGGTAAGTCTATATATAGAAAGATTAAAACATTAGACTACAATGCAAAAGCTTATATGTATCATTAACAAGGAGAGGTTACAGCTTTTACCGAATAAATGATCTTCCAAAGAACCATTGGGCATGAACTCATAAACGAGGACTCGTTGCTCGTCTTCTACGCAATAGCCAATGAGATTAACAAGGTTTGGATGTTGAGCAAGACTCAATACCATCACTTCTGCGAAGAACTCTCTTGTTCCTTGTAACCCATTCCTGTCAAGCCTTTTTACAGCCACCACCTAAACTTCTCATCAATATTCAATCAAACACACACACAAAACGTTAGCAACATTTTTTCCACCAAATCCTCACGCATATATTATAAAGATGATGATTGAGAGATTTGAGAAAGGACCTGGTTTAGGCTGGTGAGGAAGCCTTTGTAGACTCTTCCGAAACCTCCTTCACCAATCATACAATCCATGCTGAAATTGTCTGTTGCAGCTATTAGTTCCTTGAACTTGAAGATTCGTCCACCGTTCTTCACGTTCCCATACTTCTTTATCTCGTCCGTTATGTACTTCTGCCTGGAGCTTCCTGCATTTTATCATTGAACATTTTCAGAAAACCAAATGATGATCAAAAAGATTGATTGAAATGAAGAATGAGATAATGTTTTATGAGTATACCTTTGCGGCGTGAGCGAAATGTGAAGAGAGCAAAAAGTTTACGGCTATGGCCTCTATAAGCTGTAAGACCTTCATCAAATGAATCTCTAGGAGAATTTGGTCCAAGCTGTTGTGGATTGATGAAACAAGGACAAAGCTTCATCATTGTTTCCTTTTTCTCCTCCTCTTTTTTTTTTCTTTCTTTCTTTTTTGTGTTCTTTGATCCTCAGAACAAACAAAAATCCTTTCAAATGATAATCCCCTAAGGAAAGATTCGATCTTGTCTCCTGGATCGATCCTTTCAGATCCAAACCCTGTCTGGGCAAAATGAATCTGAAAGAAAGATTAAATCTTTCCCAGGAAAATGATGTAGCATGACAGGAGAATTCGAGGGAGGATCACAAAGTTTTGCTGTCTCTTGTTATTATATATGAATGTTCCCATCTTTGGGTTTCTCTTAAATTTGGATAAAAAGATTTTATCTTTTCTTTTCTTATTTTTAGGGTTTTCTACTCTGTTTCGTTTATTTAGAAGAAGCCAACAACGCGTCTGCTTTTCTAACAAACCTCAAATCAAATCTTACTCAACATAGTTCGTGGTAAGCATGTAAGATTAAACTTTCTTCTTCATACTATATTAATATAAACATAGGAAGCTACTAATTACATAAATAGGTGTGCGTTTGACCATTAAGGCAAGCTAAAACTGTTTGTCTGAAAAATCTTACAGATCAAATGCTCAAGATCATCCTTTGACCAAATCTTACAGATAACCCATAATGCTCAGGATCTTGATCCCAAAATCAAAATATTCATATGTCTGAAAAGACTAACATTGGCCAACATGATGATCAAAACCATTACTTTCATCTAAAAAGCTAGTGAACTTATTTCATGAAAAACTTTCACCTGAAGAGCAAATTTTGAATAAAAACCCAAATATAATTTGATTTCATTGAGGCAATGCAGCTTCGACTTCATCCCACAACTCGACGTTTCTAGTGAACTTCTCTTTAACTTGCGCAATGAGCTCTTTAGCTTCTTCAACTTTCGAAGCCTTAGCTAAACCGTTAACAAGAGACTTCATGATACCGAAACTCGGAACCCAATTCTTCTCCATGCTCTCTTTACAAACACTCAAAGCCGTCTCAAAGTCTCCACCTTTACACAAGTAATATATCAGAGTGAAGTAACACTCACTATCAGGCTTGCATCCTCTGTTCACCATAACCTTAAACAGCTTCTTCGCCTCTTCCAAATCGTCTTCGTTGCAAAACCCATGAATCAAATGAGCGTAAGTCACCGAGTTCGGTTTCATCCCTGAAGACAACATCCCATCAAGCAGAGCCTTTGCCTCTGCAGATTTCTTCCTCTTGCATAAACTCTGTATCCTAATGTTGTGTGTCGAAACACCGACGTTGACACCACGCTCTCTCATCATCCCCAACACTTTCCCTACCTCTTCGTTCTTATCCTCCTGGTAAAACCCAGAGATCATGAGGCCGAAGCTAGAGCTCGTGGGCTTGATCCCTTTCCTCTCCATCTCTGCAACGATGGAGTAAGACGAGCTCGCTGAGCCGGATTCGCAGAAGACTTTGATCATACGGTTGTAAGTTTCGAGATCAGGTTCGATTTTGTACATCTTAGGGAACTCGATGTAGACTCGTTTCGCTTCCTTGTAATCTTTGGCTACTAAGCAGGCAAAGAGAAGAGCGTTTAGGGATTTTACCGTGCGAGGGATCTCGAACTTCTCGAGCTCACTGAACATCCGCAGAGAGTGGTCAAGCATGTTGGCCTGAGCGTAGAGAACAATGGCGTGAGCGGCGAAACGCTCCGTTTTGAGATCGGGTCGGCTTTCGATGGATCCGTCGAGGAGGTTTGTTACGGCGGCGAAGTGTTTCTTCTCGGCCAGGTTCTCGACGGCGGCGGAGAAAGCGATCCGGTCGATGTGGCAATCGGGAGTGAGGGAAGCGGCGCGGCAGATTTCTAGTATGCGATCTGGATCTTTCTCGGTTTTGAGAAGGGAGAGAGCTGCTTTGCTCTTTTGCTTGCTAGTGAGAGGGGTTTTGGAATCCGGCGCGAGAATCGATGACGCGGAGGAGAGAGAGCGGATTTGAGGGGATGGGGTGATGTGGCGGAGGAGAGACGCCGATGAGCGGATTCGTGAGAGTAACGCCATTGAATCTTACGGTTTTAAATGTTGCAGAAGAGAAAATGAAGAAGAAGAAGAAGAAGACAGCGAAATGGAGAAGACTGAAAGATGATGAATTAGGGTTTTGCGGGAATTAGGAAACTGGGATAGTGAATAATCTCAGCCGTTGAGTGTTTCTGAAAAGACGTCATCACTATGGACGGTTAAGATGAGTTCAATAAAAGAGAAATTTTTAAAAAAAATTAAGATCCAACTCAACCGGGGTTTTGAACCCGACGTGAATCGAACACGCAACCTTCTGATCTGGAGTCAGACGCGCTACCATTGCGCCACGGATCCGGTGATAGATTGTGACCAGATATTGGTTATATTCTTACTTGTATATCAAAAATGGCATTTCTTGACGTTGGTTGTGTAATTTTGTAATATTTTTGGTTTTAATGTTAAAAATTTATACCAAAATATTGCAAATTACTTTTTCCAAAAATATATATATATATATTGCAAATTACAATCTAAATTACCCAATTGGGACTAATGGCTCTACCCACTATAATGGAACCCAAACAAAGAAAACAATTGTTCTAACAAAATTAATATATACATGTTTAATTGTATACAAATACCATAAATAAGAAGATCAAAGCAAAAATTCTTTGTATAAACCATTTTGTTTGTGGAAGAACCGTGGCCATAAGTAGTCAAGGTTTAAAAGTTTTTACATCAGGTCTGGGGTTTGATATCTAGAAAGTGCATTTTCTTGCAGATTATTGATACAAGAGTCAATGGTGAAGCTGTCCATCATGATGTGGTGCAAGTACAACTGTTTGTCGTGTATCCGTGTGTTACATGGGAGATCTGTCATCGTGAAAATGTCTGCTTAATCTCTTGATAATGTAATAGTTTATGAAAGTGTTAAAAAAAAAAAACCATTTTGTTTTATTTGTTAAAGTAAAGTATACTGTTAAACAACATAGTTTAATGTCGAAGCAATAACTCAAGACGGACAAAAGTTGCATAGATCATCATTAAGGGACTTTCTCAAATCTTCTTGAGCAACTCAATGATGTGAATACCGAAAGCGTTGCATGCAACTTTGATGCCACAAAAGCCTGATCCTTTGGCCAATGCCTCGAACTCTTTCTCAGTCCGTTCTATGCCTCCGGGACTGTGAGCCATCATACTGCAATCTGCATGGAGTGCTTGTTTGGTCAAGAGGCTTGAGTCTGGATTCTCTGGAAGTATACACTCAACTACTATCACTTTCCCATTCTCTGGAAGCGCGTGGTAACAGTTTTTCAAGAATTTAATACATTGGTCGTCGCTCCGAGCATGGCATATCCACTATTACATCAATGAACATAATTGAATGAAAACATTTGAAATTTAAAGATTTCTTGATGAAACTTATATGATTTCAAGACTTTTCTGTATGGGGGAAGATTTGGTAGTGATTAATTAGTCTTGATTTTGGTGAATATAATTAATTAATTACTAACCTTCATGATCATGGCATCACCTTTGGGGACACTTACAAACATATCTCCTCCAACATGCTCAATACCTACAATACTTAGCAATAAGGCAAATTTCTCAATCAGATCTTAAACAAATGATCAAAGAAAATCAAACTTTTGTGATATACCGGGATACGAAGGAGCATCTTTGATGACATGTGGGAGATCAAAATTGATGCATCTAAGGTTAGGGTACTTGTAGACGATCATTTTGAGAGTAGCACAATTGCCACCACCAACATCAACCACAGAAGTCAAGCCATCAAAACCCTTATAGGTCTCGAGAATCTTCTTCATGAAGATTGTGGAATGATTAGACATCCCATTGTTGAAGACGCTGTTGAATCTCGTGTCAGTTCTTCGGTACTCTAACACGCTCATGCCATAAGCTTTATTGAATGGCCTCCCACCAACAAGAATTGCATCTTTCAAATGGTACCTGCAACAAGTTTCTTTGGCTCAAGTTTAAGAAAACACACATACAACCCTTCTGCTTTTGGTTCTTTAATAATTTAAACTAACCCTCTACTTTTAGTTACCACAATTAGGTAGGATAAACTGTTTGGGAATTTTTTACAAGATAAAACTTTATTATAAATGTTTAAACCCCAAAATCAGAGATGTTAATTAGTACTCCCTATGTTCCATTATATAAGTTATTTTGAAAATTGTTTTCTATTTCACAATATAAATTGTTTGCACATCTTAATGTTACTTTTTTCTTTATTAAATATTGTGTAGCTAATAAAATTTTATAATTGAATGAATTATAATATTTTTAAATAGAAAAAATATATTTTTTAATTCTTATACTTTTACCTTAAACAACTTATATTATAAAACAGTCATATATTCTTTTCTTGTTGCTAGTAGGCTGACTAAGCAATTGAAGATGAGTTGGGAAAAAAAACATCAAGGGGTCCAAAACCATTAATGATTACATACAAGTTATAACTACAATGATAAAAATAAAAGCATGTCAACACGACAACACCTATCCTATGCATTCCTATAAAAGGCTTTACAAAAGTATTTATAAGAGAAATTCGTAGAAACGCCCATTTCTTTTACATGATTTATTTTATCATTTTGCACATAAGCATAAAAACCTATTTACCTAACAAACCCTTATAGATCATGTGTATTATACGTGTCAAAACGAGTTTGTATTATCTGTTTTTGTCTAAATGCCTTGGACACTCTGGCTCTGTCCCCATTTCCTTTGCGATTGTATTTTTCATAAAACGATATTATCTACAAAAATAGTTATTGTTCTGACTTGATCTAGCATTAAATCTATTAAAATCAGAAAGAAGATAATTTCGAAAATACCAGCTTTCCATGAAGACCTTGTCTTGGTTCATAAGACAAAGAGCAGCAATCGAGACACCGTCTTCGTTCTTGGTCAAGTACTTGCAAACCGGACCGAGCCCATAAAGCCGCTCGATGTCGTCGCCTCCGGGAAGTGTACGGACGGAGCAGGTGAGGATAGAGTAAGCCGCAAGAAACCGGAGTATACGGTCGAGCATGGCAGGAGCTTCCGGATTTTTGGTTGGAATATGGGAAGCGATCTCAGCCGGAGACATCTGATGAGAAGTGTTCTTGGCCATGATCTCGAGAAGGTCGAGCTCTAAAGCTGATTGTAAAACCATAGGAAGAACGGAGGCGCTGGCTAGCTGCATGACGAAGAGGCTAGTTTCTTCGTCGGGGACTTGCACCGAAGTTATCTGTGTCTCTGCCGTTGAGCTCATTTGCGTGTATGTTAGAGTTTTTTATTGCTTTTTTGTCTTCTTTATTGAAATTGGGTTTCTTTATGTTCAGATTTGTGTTTGTGTTATGGGGTAGGTGAGGAGTACTAAAGGTTGAAATTGATTTCTATAATGTTTTTCAACTGACCAACTTGTCAGATGGATAGGGAAACTTATATATATATCAATTAAAGATATAACAAAAAAAATGTGTTGTGAAATGGATGTAGTAGTATATAGATCTGATGTTTTAAAAATCAAACAATTGAATCATGAAAAGAGACTATATAAAAAAAATGAATCGAATGTAAAATTTATTCAACCAAAAACAATCTTTTACAATAGTTGTAAATTATTTTTGAAATTTAGAAAAATATTTAGTCTAATAATTTAGCTAACAAAATCAATGTTATGCAAAACAAAGTTCGAAGCGTTTTTTTGTAGCGAGTATTTTCAATCCTTTTTATCATAGCCAATTTGCGTCTTACTTGTTTTGTCGATTTGTTGTGCCATTTGATTTGGTATAGTGGAAAAAGTTATCTGTGTCTCCTACTATTTTTTTTTTGTACCATATAAAGTGAATTGTGTTCTGAAACACGTACTGAAAACGAAATAGAGTAAGCTCATCTTGTGAATCATATTGTATATGTTAAGATTTTTAGTGGTGGAAGTGTAAAAGAATCTACCTAATATATGAATGACATAAACCACTAATCCATCGTAAAAAGTTATAAGAAAATAACCAAAACTCATTGGATATCTCATCCTTTTCCGCATTGTATATTTTGTATTGTCATTTAAACAAATATCAATTTTGTCCAACACAGTACAACACGAGAAAACATTGAAAACTAGAATCAAATAAATCATCGTGATGATGGTTGAATTCAATTATTTTAGTTCATTGATTGGTCCATTCTTTTTTTGTACTTTGGTTTTTACGAACGATTGGACCATTGGACCATTTTTATGGTCCTATGTCCTAACGTATACTGACCACAACACATTTACTGTCGTCGTCAAGTCGATTATACACATTCGTGAAATAAAAGATTCTCTCAATTTTCTTCCACGGTTATTGAATAATAGTATTTCCTTTTAAAATAAATATCATTTTAACATTTTTTATATAAATTAAGAAAAATATTAAAAATTCTGTTTTATCCTTTGTTCATACACAAAATAAAATTCTCTTTCTAATTAATACATTAATATAACAAGATTAAAATATGATTTTTATTTAAAAAATTACATTGGAAATACAAAACTCTTTACGAAACAAAAATAAAATTTTAAAACAAACGGAGGAAGTAATAATTAATAAAACAATCTCACTCCCTTAAATTACAAAGAATATTCACTCTTGCACTGAAATACAACTTTTGTCAACCCGCAAACCTTAAATTTCCGAGTCATTAATTAACAAAACAACACATTTTTCGATTGAAAAATTATCGTTTCATCAATTGAATTGGCATCTTACATTTTTGATCATCTACCACCAGTTTCGGGAAACAAAAATTTTGATTTCAATTTGACCTCAAAATTCCCAAAAAGAAAAAAAAAATGTTTGTACTTCTGTTTTTTTATTGCTTCAGAAGCGGCTCACGGCTCTCTTCCCACTGGTCCAATCGGCTCGAAGCTTTCTCCACCTAAATTACAAGATTAACTTAATTAACTACGATTCCATGAAAATCCATTTTCAACATTATATTCCAAACCCATACCAAGATTTGTGAGTAAAAAACCTCTCATTTATAATCATACAAATTTGTTTTTTAATTACCTCTTTATCCCAATCAGTTCGGAAGGTGACAATCACTAAGATTATAGTTTGCATTAAAGTGCCACCAATCATCCCTGTCCATATTCCCTGCACCATCATCATTCATAGAGTATTTATTATTTACAGGTTATTATATGCACATCTCGAAATTAAATGAGATTTATTGTTATTCACCTTTGCACCCATATCATAGGTGAAACCAAGGACGAAACCAATCGGAATTCCCACAATGTAGTAACATCCAATGTTAACGTACGCCACAAACGCTTGCCATCCACATCCAACAGCCACACCTAAATATTTTGTATCAAAACTCATTATAATTTTATATTTAATTATTAATCAACTAATTTTATTATGTAAAAATTTGATTTGATTGTAAAGGTAGGTTTTCTTTTTACCAGATAAAACAGGCTGAATTCCATTGAGGACAATAGTGATGGCTAAAAAAGGAGATAAATCCGCAACAGCCTCAGCTACTGCAGGACTATCTGTAAATGCATAGCTGATGACATGCCGCCACGATAAGACCACGATGGCTTCGAAAACTGCTAGTAAGAATGAGACTCCGGTTGTGATGACTGTGGAAAATGCAGCAGCCCTTGGGTTTCCGGCTCCTAGTTCATTGCTTACTCTCACACTACATAAAATTATAAAAAAAGAAATTAGTTATTAATAATTACTAAAAATTTAAATAAACAATAAACTACTTAGGAGTGAATAATTTTGTGAAAAAAAATAGATTTTTTTTTGTTACCAACCTTGCAGCTGCGTTGAATCCAACGGAGACCATGAAGGAGATTGCAGAAATTGACATGCTGCAAAATAACAAAAGCAATAATTTGATGAGTGAATTGATATAATTGGGTTTGTGGAAGCACATAAGTGTGTGTGCCGTTTTTGCTCATTGGAAACGACACGCAGTTGCTAAAACTCATAGAATACGACAAAGTGAAGACAAAAATTCAAGTAGCTTTCTCTAGTCTTATACTATCTACTACTGAGTAAGAAAATGACGTGACGAGGTGGACGACTCGTCCTTTTCAAGTCTTCTTCATAAACAAAGAAATCATAAAGCAATTAATATAATTAACCGTTACAATAATCACATATGTGTCACAGGACTCTGACCTTAATAAGACAAACTATTTGTCATATGTTCGGATTTATTGTAGTTAATAATAATAAACACCGAAATAAATTGAAAAAAATATCCCCACTTTACGCGACAAAAATTACAGCTAATTACTAGATTTCATAATTTTCTCTTTTCACAATAATTAGTTTTGTCCTATATTCAAAATTCATTGTTAAGACTTATGACAAACATGGAAACAAAAAAAATTATTGCTAATTATCAAGGACAGCTAGATTTTTACAATTAATTTTATCTATTTCCAATTTAAGTTTTTTCTATTTTTAGTAAAGATTCTGCAAATTTCATGTTGTTGTTACGTCTCGAAAGCTATGAAAAAAATGTAATTGGTTTCAGTAATTTACCAGATAGCGAGAGAATCCAAAGCAAGCTCAGGGTTTTTGAGAAGTCCGGCGAGTAAAACCAGAATCTGAGAGTACCACGATTCGAGGCAAAGCATGACGGCGGAAGCCGCCGATAATCGGAAAAAGTCCCAGAGACCTTCGAAAGCTTTCCAGCTGAAGCCGTCCCAGCTCCGGCGACATCTCGGGCTCATCTTAATGTAAACGATCTGAGCCACGACGATGATCCACCACGACAAACTATGGATCAGGGACAAAGCCAGTAGACCAAAACCTAGGCGGTACACGGCGACCCATGAGAGGACGAGGTGGATGACGAGAGTCGCGGCGGAGATGTAAGCGCTCGGCGTCACGATGCTCTGCGACTGGAGGAACTTCTGGATCGGGAAATTGACTGCGTAGGCGAATATCACCGGGATCATACCGTAGACGAACAGTGAAGCCATTGATGCGACTTGCTCCGGCTCGCCGAGCGTGTTCAGGAGCGGATTCGAGAAGATGAAGAGAAGCGACATCGGAAGACAGGTTATGATCAGAACCACCGTCGATCTCTGGAGGTAAACTCCGAGCATCTCGTAACGATGAGCTCCATGCGCTTGTCCACACAACGTCTCCACCGCACTTCCCATTCCAAGCTATCTCACCGGAAAAATCAACAACAGCAAAAATCGATTAGATTCAGAGGATTTGATTCGAATCTCAACGGATCCGATGGAGAAAAAAAACGAACATCGAAGATTTTATTCGAATTTCTTTTCAAAAAAAAAAAAACTCGGTGAATTAGTTTTGAGATTTTTTTTTTACCAGAAGCCCGTAGGTGAACATGTTGAATCCACTGTTTCCGAGTGAAGCGGCGGCGAGTTCAGAGCTACCGACGTGGCCGGCGAAGATACGAGTGAGGATCGACATGCCGTTGTTGATGACGTAGACGAAGATTGCCGGAGCCGCAAGGTGGAAGAGGAACTTCATCTCTATCATCATCGCCAGGTAAATCCGGCGGAGATACGGCAGTTCTCGGTCGGTTAACACAGTCTCGAGCCGATAATCGATGAACGACTTCGACGATTCGATCAATGGACGGTGGAGATTTTCCAAGGATTCTGAATTCATTTTTTTTCTTTTTTTTTTGGTTTCTTAACGAATCTTTCAGAGGAAATCGAGAAAATCGAAATCTGGGAACGACGATAGTATTTCTCTTTCTCTCTCTCTTTTTTTCTGAGTGTGTGTCTGTGTCTCTCTGCAACTTCGGCAGAAGTTATATAATGCAATTTTGCCGTGTATGCTGACGGAAATAATAATATTTAAATTTTATTTGACTACAAAATTTGAACTTTTTAAAAAATTATTATTTGGAACTGAAGAAACGAGGAAAGGCTGTTTAAATATTATTAAACAAGGCAATTCACACATTAGATGTGTCCAACCAAAACCATTTTGAGCGTAATAGGTAAATCGAGTTATATTTTAACACCCGTTTTTTTTTTTTCATTTGTAGTAGTATCGATTATAATGACTAAAAAATTGACCAATTTTTGAAAAGTTATATAATTACTTTCCTAAAACATTTTCAAATGTATAGAAACTTCAGAAGAAACCAAAAATATATAACGTAATTTAGTATACAACTCTAAAAATAGAATATGCTTAATTTTGTTAATTTGAATTTTAGTAAAATATATGTAAAAAAATTGCTAAGTTGTACAACTAACATTTAAAACTGAATATCACCAAATCAGCTAACTTTAAATTTAATAACTGAATTATATAAATGATTGCAACAAAACATTGAAAAAACGTAATTATTTTCCAAATCAATTAAAATAACTAATCTTTAATTAAATATCTTTATAAGTAATCCAGTTAAAATTTTCTATAAGTAGAAAAAAAAACAATAACTCTTTACCCTAATAATCATTTTAAATGAAAAGAATAGAATAAAGAAAGATTATAATGAGCTTTTATTTTGTATACTATTTTCATTCATTTAGAACCATATTTTTGGCAAAGAACTTGTGTTTCTATCATTAGTCAATAAACTTTTTCGATTCAATCAATAAATTGATTGGTTGTGGACCTTGTGGTCATTAAATATAGTTAGTAAATATTTTATTTGAACATACGTATATTATTATTACAAATTCCTGAATCTTTACCAAATCCTATTTATATACTATAATCTACTATTTCCTTTTCACAAAAAGTGTTATTTGAGGTTTTTCACATATATTAAAAATTATACTTTACCTTGTATTATTAATACACCAAATACATTTTTATTTCTAATTAACATGTTCAAACAATAAGGTTAAAACTATTTTTTTCCTCAAAATTATGTATTGAAAGTATAAAATGATATTGTTTGTAAAACAAAAATAAAATCTTAAAATGACACTATTTATGAACTATATTTTTTTATATTATTGTTAAAGTATAAGAAATATTTTTTAAAAAAGTATGTGTCCAAGTTTACAATTAGTAGTTTAATACAATAATTGAGTAGTAAAGTAACAAACAATATTGCATTTTGCCATTGTTCAGTATTACTTGAGCAAAGTAACAAACAATATTGCATTTTGCCATTGTTCAGTAGAATATCTAGTACATTATTCCTAAGACACCTTTGACAAATACCATCAGACTATGTACTGTGCGATTACACTATAAAGCTTGGTAGTCTTATCATGTCCTCGCATGTTCAGTTCAATTGTAGATATTTCGCGTAGACCCCTGTATTAGTATTTTTTCATTATTCGAACCCCCAATTGTTTATTAACTTCATACAAGTATCTATTAATTTTTCTACCATTTTCTGATAAAAATAACCGTTGAAAATTCGACCTTTTTTTGTAGTGATAGTAGTAGATACGAAATGTAGGAGTATTAATGTATTATTATGGCCTCATGATTGCTCTCCTTTTTCTCCTAATACAAACGTACTATTAATATCCACTTCCTTATTTTTTTTCTTTTTACAGTACAAAGTTTCAGGATTATGCATACATTTAAGAATTTGGAAGACGTCGTTCGATAACACGGCTAGGACGATGCGACAATGCGACAATGCGACAACACAGTATTGACTCACTCCACTAGTATTTATTGTGATCATGACATATACACATATATACTAATTCAGTTAGTGTTGAATTAGTATTATTAAAAGTAAGCAAACGCAACCCATCCAGTCGCATTTCCGTAAACATTGGGTCTAACTGGTATCTTATAATAGAATAAGAATAACTGAAAATTTGTTAGTAAAACAAATTAACTAAATAATATTTTAGTTGAATAATTGTAAAATATTAAAAAACTATTTTTAATAGATTAATCATATTTTATTTTTTTAATTATATTTTTAATACACTAACGAAATTACATTTTAAAAATATGGAAATTTAAAAACATGATAAATAACTGATAAAAAAAACAGAATCAATTTTTCAAAATGTAAAAAACTGTGTACCATGACATTTCGTTCTCAAAATTAAATTTATCAACTATATGTAGTGCTACTTCTATAAAACAATTAATTGAACTTAGCTATTCAGCAGATATATAATCCCCACATAAAATTTAATTCTGTGATTGTTAGTAAACAAGACACGACACGAGTGATCATTTATAGAACGTTCAACTGCATCTGACCTTATAGCTATTGTCGTGCTTAGAATTTATTTTGCAGCAATAAGTATTTTTTGTTTTATTTACAACTCATCTGCAATAACTATAGTATTTATTGGGCAGAAGAAAGTGATGTTTTTACAAACAATTAGTTTGTTTTCTTTTGCAAATTAGAATAAGAGTACTAATTTGCATTTTTTGCAATTTATGCGTAAGAACAGATAAAGTAAAGATAGCATCACCAAAATAGCTTGATCAAGTTGAGAAGATTACTACTAAATGAATATTACTAGTTAGTACTTATGTGAATAATTAGCTAATGATAAGACAATGGTGTTTCAACTGAAAAAACAAACGTGTCATTCATTAAGCGATACCAGCTTTCGAGATGCTGTCAAAATATGAACCAAAGGTAGTATTTGATTTTAAGATATTCTGGATTCCAATTCAGAAGACTTGGTTAACGACAACAAAGGAGAAAATGATTTTGCAATTATCTTAATTTTAAAAATGGTAAATACATACAGACGAGAACCCTAATTGAAAGATTCGAATATGAGTATATGACTACGATATACCAACAAAACCCAATACTTAATGGTTCTTGTTATTCAAAAGGTGCTTCGATCTTATGATCGATAATAATTATTGATACCACTCCACATTTATAAACTTACGTTTCGAGAAGGTTATTATTGGATATACCACTAAAAATGACAATTCGGGTCTAATATCCATAAGATTCTGAAATGCACGATTCTAAAAAACTTACCATTTGCTATTATATTCGCACGGGATAATTACAAAGATACTGAATCTGGTTTAGATACTACATATATCCACAACCACAAATGCATAATTTGCAAAATATTTTCTTGATTTCATATATACGTGTTTGGTATGTCTCCAGAAAATGCCGGAATAGGGAAAATGACAACTGTTTGGTAAGCTAAGAATTTAGTGTGTATAATAAACCGGTGACGATAACAATTGTTAAGAAAATTTGGAATCAAGACATGCATGTGTCACTACGTCAGTAGATCTTTGGTGATTTTAATTGCATGTCGACTTGCGTAGCTAAGGACACATGTCCGTATTTATATAGTGTTGGCGTATTATATATTAGGCAATATCATGCAAAAAAAGGTTATCGAACTTATCTCAAAAGTGACAAAATTATAAAATAATTATATGGTGGATATTCATGACACGACTAACGTATACAAATTGAACTTAACTGGGGCCTAAAAAAAGAAAAAGAACTTAATTAGTGCCTAACTCTTTTGATCGATAATTCGATCCCTATATCCAACCTAAATACCTAACCAGTATATAATATATAGACTAAAAGATACATTTATACATATATATAGATTATTTTTGTAAAGAACTTATAAATGTATTATGTATACGGTTCAATCATATATATACATTGTTTTAATGTGCGAGGCATTTCCTGGATAAAAAGGCAGTTATAGAAAGAAAGATGATCAGAATTCAGGGATATACCACAAGGACCACAACCAATTGATATTGGTTCAATCATAGTTTTATGTAATAATAATCCCAACGGTTACGCTAATCGCAGAACTGTGCTTCATGTGATGTTAAAAAGGTAGTGGCTTATTCGATAAAAGGAAAGAAAAGAATGTAATATTAAGCTTATATATTTCTTTTAATATAAAATGTTTAAGATCTTTGTTTAAGAAGTGTATTCAGTCTTTCTTCAATTTTTTTTTATATATATACTCATATCGGTTAATATTGTCAGTCTTAGTAACTTTTTTTTAAAAGTTAGATTTTCGTGATAGCTTTCTTTAATATTAGATGTTGTAATACATAAAAAAAATTGTATATTTTGGGTATAGTATTTATAAAAAGTGAATTAGTTTAATTATTATACAAGTTTACTGAATTAGTTTTTATGCACTTAATTTGGCACTACGCACAGCAGCTAATCGTTTTGCGAAAAGAATTAAGTAGTTAGTAACTCAAATTTGAGTTTTCATCTATGTATATCTTGAAAATTATCCATGTTTTTATTTAAATTACGTTTACAATGTTGATGATTAACACCCCCCCCCCCCCCCCCCCCCCCCAAATATATATGCGTATACAATCTATATGCGTGTATATATATATTCCAAATAAGAAATTTGCTTATATTCTGGGAAATAACAAAAAAAAAACAAAACAATGATGTGTCAATATCCTTCTTTTTATTATTTAAATTACGTTTATAATGTTGATGGTTAGCCCAAAAAAAAAGAATAATTCCAAAAAGAGAAATTTGCTTTGATTCTAGGAAATAAAAATAAAACGAAACAATACTGTGCCGATATGGAAAGGTGGGTTTAATAATTTTAATACTACTTATGTACTGGATATATTTAGTAAAAAATACTATTCAATTTTTTTTTATATAAATGGGATTATATCTTTGGATTGATATCTCGATTAATTTACCAGACAGATAA